CTTTTGAACCCGTTTGACTAATTTTATGAAAATATTTCTTCTAATGAGAAAGGTTTTTAGATGAAGTTGATCCAATAGGATTTCCTCAAAAAGTATGTCTGGAATATGAAACTCCTTTAAAAATTAGTTTTCAAATAAAAATTAAAGTAACTTCCTCCAAAAACTCTTCTACAAAAAGTAAAAACAAAAATCATATCAAACGAGCCCTTAGAATAACTTTTATTTTGCCCTACTTTGATTTTACTAAGTTTGATTTTTAAAGGAAATAAAATATTTGGTTGATAAATTATAGGTTTTACGAAATATATTACTAAAATAAGGTTTTAATTTTAATTTAGATTTTTATCAATTTTTTTAGCTAAATCAAACCGAAGCTTAATAGGTATTTGATGCAAATGATACCATAATTAAATTTTTCATCTAGTGTGCCGGATTAAAGATTAAAATTAATGCCAAATTTTAACTTAAATTTTTATCAATTTTTTTAGCTAAACCAAATATAAGCTTAATACGGTATTTCATGCAAATGATACCATAATTAAATTTCTCATCTAGCCTGATTTAAGTGATCGGCCAAATGCGATTTATTTAAAGTATTATGAGATAGGGATATCAATTGAGCACGACCGCGCGACAATCTTCTTTGTCTCGTCTTCTGTCTGAAATTTTCAAGAGGCGGGATGGAGATTAAAATATTCTCATTTCTCTCCTTGTTTACTTATGTTTTTAATTACAATTTAAATTTGAACATACAAAAAAATAAGAAATGGGATGGAAATCATATTTTCCAGTCGTGTCCTGGGGTAGTGGCATGCCATCCCTACAAATTATTCATTCCTATTTCGTCTTAATGGAGTTGAGGAATAATAGGGAAAAAGGGGTAAATTCCATCAAAGGTCGCCAACCTTTTGTAAATATGGCATCCATGTCCTCAACTTACCATCTGTCATGTTGCATAGAAATGCAACTACTTTGTCCAAAACCTACAGCTAGTATCCTATATTATTCAAAATCGAGCTCGAGAATCAACCAAATACCTCTTTTAAGGATAATTGATCAAGACATCATTAAACGATACTTGAATATCGACCACAAGCACGCTCTTATAATATGCACTTAGTCACTCACTAAATGGAAATGCTTCAGTAGTGACTCGAACAGGAGACATCTAGCTCTAATATTAGTTGATGTAGGAAGTTGTAATGACTTTGTCCAAAACTTATAGCACATGAAAAAAGAATAATCAAACCATATATTACTAGAATCCGGCTTGACAATCCAAACGTGATCTTTATGTAGTCATCCAAAAAGATTTCACTTATTTTTAAAACAAACCAAGCTATGACTTCAAGATGCATTTAAAAATTCAAATAGGGTATGTTGTAAAACAACCAAAATGCCAGAATTGCTCTGATATCAATTGTTGTGAAACAAACTACCGAATTAAGATATTGAAGTTATATGACAAATAATAATGAAATATTAGATAAAGTAAAAGAATAATAAATATAAAAATATGACAAAGGAATTAAGAGATTTTTTTCAACTCAAGAATAATGGAGAAAAGAGAAAATTACAATAAATCCTATAATTCTTGTAATATATTTCCTCACATTATAAAATTGTATAGAAAAACCAAGTATTTATAGGGAATAAGTAGGGGATGTCCAAACCCACCTAATAGAGTTGTTGATGAAATATGATACCATAAAACTGAGTCCAAAACAAATTCTAATTCCCAATGGGTTTCCAAAATAAACTTCAACATGATATAGGATTCCAATAATACTCCAAATTTAAATTCTTCATGACGTGCACTTCAATTAAAATTCTTCAATTATTTCAACAAGGAATTCGGGTCACACTCAAATTCTAACAATCTCACCTTAACACGAATTTCACCGAGGAATGAATTGACTTTTTCAACAATAACCAAAAAACTAATTTCTCCAACCAAATACAAAATACTCCACATATTCCAATGAATCCAAGCACTACTCTGCAAATTACCTCAAATTCCAAAAAATCACAATGATTTTATAATTTACCAAAATGGGCTGGAACACACCCCAAAGCAGAATCAATACCAAATGCTTTTACAGAAGACTCCTTGCTAGATTGTATACCCTCTACTCCACTTAAAGCATCCACATACCCTTTTCCATTGGGTCCGTCTCTTG